TAGTTGTGATGTTGTTGATATATTGTTGTTTTGTGAGCTTTTTGAAATATTCTCTTCCTCCTATTTTTATTAGTGAGTTTTTATGTGTTTTTGTTTATTGTTTTATTTGTAGCTGTTAATAGTCCTGTTTATTTGTATTATTGGTTTTGAATGTTATTTATTGGTTCTCATTGTAATTAAATGTTGTTTTTTTTATTTTGTTTTATATTGAGTTTATGTACTTATATTTGTTATATAGCTTGGTTGTTGTAAGCTTATAGTTTTGTATGTTTATTCGATATTTAGGTGTGGTAATTATGTGTTTAGTTTTTTTTTTATTTTATTTGTTTATATTTATGTGAGTTATGGGATTCGAACCCATGCAATATGGATGGATATTGCATTTCCATTATACTCATTTTTATTTTGTTTTGTTTTTGTTTTGTTGTAGTTCTAGGCTAGGAATGCGGTATGGTTTTTCTCTAATTAGGTAGTCTTTGACTCCTAAGAGTAATGCGATCCTGTGTCTTCGTTTGAAAATTCGGTATACGTGTAATGCATATTTTCTAGAATAACGTGGGTTGTTATATTTTCTCTTTAGTTTATTTTGTAGTTTATTTTGTAGTATGTATAGGTTACATTTATGTTGTAATTTTATTAATTGTATTGTTGTTTTTTTATTTTGTTTCATTTTGTTTATTTTGTTGTGGATTTCTATGTTTTTTCTTAGATTTATGATAGTTTTTCGTTGTTGTTTATATGTGTATTTATTTGTTCTTTCTAATCTGTTTTGTAATTGGTTTGGTGTATCTTCATGTATTTTTATGATGTTGTATGGCTTGGTGCTATAGTTTAGGTTGTGTTTGATGGTTTGGTTTTGTTTATATATATTATTTTGTATGTTTTCTAATTTTATGATATGTCTTAAGTTATATTTTATCTTATTGATGTTTTTAATTTTATTATTTGAGGGGCTTGTTATAATATTTTTAAATAAATAGCTATTTGCCCTGCTGGATAATAATATGTATTTATTAATTTTTTTTTTTATTGATTGTTTTAATATAGTGTCATCTATATTAAAATAATTTACTGGGGCTTCATCTAATTCATATTCCTCATGAACATTTGGAATATGTTTGTTTATCCTCTTTTCTTTTTTTAAAAATGTTTTAGCTGATGCTTCTACATCTGTTCTTATAAAGCCCTTGTTTCTATCTTTAGAGTCTTGAGACATTTCTAAGCGTATTAATTCTTTTTCTAATTCTTTTATTTTATATAGAATTAATTCTATATCCTTAACAATATTTAATAATTTTTGATTTAAACTTAAAATATCATCGTCTATAGAACTATAGCTCTTAGTAAATCTAAATGCCCCTTTTCCATGTCCATCATTTTTAATAATTGTTAATGTATTTAATAGTTTAGCTAAAGTTCTATATTGTAAGTCCTTCATCTTAAACCTTTTTTCTAGTTTTTTATAAAGGATTTCACCTTTAATCTTATTATCAGCATCATATTGATATGTTTCAAAATTATCTCTATATTGCTTATCCTTATATTTTACATCTCTTGAAAGCAATGAGTCTACAACTAACTCAGGATTTTCTAAGGCTCTTAATGCTATCATGGAAACTGCTATTAATATAATACAATGTATAAATGAGACATATAATATATAAAAATCAGTATAAAATCCTTTTCCTGTTACCATTTTTTTTTTTTTAACCATTTATTTAACAACCTAACTTTTATAAATTCTACTAACGCTTCTTCACTATTATGGGGAACAATACTTGGCTTCTGTTCTACAAACATATAGAGTCCTTTAGAAGTTTCTACTGCTTCAGGAAAATGCATAGCATAAAATGGGTTATGAGAATATCTATAATTAGATATATACTTATTTCCCATTAAATCATATAATGCACAAGCCGGCATTATGTTAGGTTCATACAATTTATTTTTGTCTAGAGGAGTATCCCTAAACTGAATTTTACCAGGACCTCTAGTTTTTAAGACTTTTCTATACATAAATTGTTTCTCCCATTCCTAACATCGTTCCACTAATAATAACTACTAACCAGGGCTTAGTAGAGACTAGCAAGACAACTCCTGTAGCCACAAACAAAGATAAACTTTGATAATAAGTAATAAACAAAGGTGTTTTAGACTCTGGTTTATCTAAGAAACAAGTTTTTATTAAATATAAATAATAAAATGCTGAAACACAACTTCCAATAATCAATGGGATCATTACAATAAATGTTTCATTATACATTGTATTATAAATAATTGAAAACTTAGAATAAAACCCAGCTAATGGAGGAACACCTGCTAATGAAAATAAAATTAATGCTGCTGCTATAGCTAAATAAGGATTAATTTCTATTAATCCTTTTAATGCTCTTAAATTATTAGTTCCAAATGAAAAGAATAATATTGCTAATGCTACAGACATTAATGTATAAATAGTAATGAATACCGCTAATGTCTGAGCACTTGTTTCTGACATATTAGATACTGCAGACAAGGCTAATCCAATATTAGTAATAGAAGAGTATATAAATATAGTTTTAAAATTACTTTGGAATAAAAGACCTAATGAGCCCAATAATACAGATAAACAAACAGAAAGCCAGATTAATGTATAAAGAGATAAATCAGAAGATACTGAAACAAAATTTATAACAGAGAACATAATAAATAATAAAGGCATTTTTGGAATTAACCCTTGAAAAATAACCATAAATAATGAAGAATCCCCATAAATTTTAGGAGCCCATAAATGGAATGGAGCTGCTGCTAATTTAAACAATAAGCTTATAATAATCAACATTACCCCTAATGATAGTGTACTATCATTACCTAAAAATAAATTTATCTGTGATTGATTTAACCAATTAAAAGACCCAGTAGATTTGTAAACCATAACAATACCTAATAAATTAATAGCAGTCATAGCTGAACCAACCACATAATAGTTTAATCCTGCTTTAATAGAACTTTTTATATTTTTATCTAATGCTATTAAAATATAAAAAGATATCCCCATAAGTTCTAAACCAATAAACATTAATCTAAAATCATATGCCATCAATGCAAGAAACATCCCAATAATAGATAACAAAAGCACTAATAATGCATCCGCTGTTAAATATTTAGATAAGTAAACTCTACATGAATAAATCAATAAAGCAGAAACAGTTAACACTAAAAATTTAATATTATTAGTAGCATCACTGAACCTAATCAAATGATCAAACCCAAAGAATACACCCTCAGGCTGAATTAACACTAGGATAACACCTGTAAATAAAACCACCAATACTAAGTTAACCAAAAATTTACCTGAATAAGATATTAAAGGGCTAATCAACACTAAAATTAAAATAGCGTTTAACAGATATAACTCTGTAGACAAACCAAAAAAAAAACTATTAAGATTAACTATCATTAATTAGTTGTATCCTCTAAATAAGTTAATACTAAAATAACGAAAACTAATGATTGAAGGAAACAAACTAATAATTCTAAGAAAGAGAAGAATAAAATAAAGAAAAATGGAAATATAGCCAATAATAAATATATACCCCCTAACTCACCTATTTTTACTGTGAATGAACCTAATATATTTAATAATGTATGACCTGCAAACATATTAGCAAATAACCTCAACCCTAATGATAAAGATCTAGATAAATAAGAAATTACTTCAACTAATACAACAAAAGGAGAAATAAAACCTGGAACCCCTTGAGGTAAGAATATAGATAAATACCCTAATCTTTTATTAACAAACCCTAAGAATGTAAAACCTAAAAACACAGAAAAAGATAAAAAAATAGGAACTATACCTTGAGATGTAATAGAAAATGAGTGAGGAATTAAACCTATTAAATTTAATATAAATATAACCATAAAAATAGTAACAATCAAAGGCACTAATGTAATAGATGAATTTCCTAATTGATTCACAACCATAGCCCTTAACATAGTATAAACTTGCTCTAAGCCAGATTGAAATCTATTAGGAACTAATAATAACGTATCTATAGATGTAGTAAATATATACGCTATAACAAATAAAGAAATTATATAATAAATCGTAGAAGATGTAAATGAAAAATCTAACCCTCCTATTAATACACTTAAATAAGAATGAATACTATATTGCGATAAAGGTGACATACAATATAATTCCCCCCCATATACCATCATAGTAACAAACAAACCATCTGGAATTAATGGGATTCGAACCCATGACCTTTTGCTTGCAAAGCAATTGCTCTACCAACTGAGCTATAACCCCTAATAAAATACACCCTCTATGGGATTCGAACCCATGTATTTACCATGAAAAGGTAATGTCCTGACCTCTAGACGAAGAAGGCATTTAGAAAGGATGGGACTCGAACCCATAAGACCAAAAGTCGTCAGTTTAGCAAACTGATGCATTAACCATTCTGCCACCTTTCCAAAATATACTTGAATTTAGCCCTACCCAACATATAAATATAAGGCGGGCATAGGAATCGAACCTATATACGAAGCTTTGCAGGCTCCTATTTTACCATTAAATTAGTCCGCCTTTTAACTTTGAAAATAATACTCCAACGACAGGTTCCCCTACCATTACCTTGTTACGACTTCACCTCAGTCAATCAGTGACCCTAGAAAAATGCTAAATTAATTCATGACAGTGTCAATACGCCACTGCCTCCAGATTCTGCTAAATACAATTATTATTATTAAAATATAATAATAATTTATTATATTTGCGTAACCCTCCATTCCACTTCAGGCGAACATCTTTTCCGAGATGTGACGGGCGGTGTGTACAAAACTGATTCATAGCTTCACCGTGGCATGATGATCCACGATTACTAGCGATTCCATCTTGGTGGACTTATTTTCAAAGTCCAATCCGAACTTAGGCCAAATTTAGGATTTGCTTACTAGTGTTATGTAGGTAGCATTCTTATTGTTTTAGGCCATTGTAGCACGTGAGTAGCCCAGTTTATATGGGCCATGAGGACTTGGCGTCATCCTTATAAAAGAGCCAGCTATCAACTGGTCTCCTCTGAGTAACTAATTTCTATTATATTAATAAATAAAATAAATTATATACTTATTAATATAATTTATATATAGGCTGTTACCGCACAATATCATTGCTAATTAGAAATTAGTTGGAATAAGCGTTAAATAAAACTAAATTATAAAAAACGCTCAGGATTGCGCCCGTTAGCAGAGTTAACTAGAAACATTATTGCATCGGGCTTTCGGCAGCCATGCAACACCTGAATTTATCAAAAACTGGTAAGGTTTATCGCGGAGTATCGAATTATACCACATGCTCCACCGCGTATATCAGTCCCCGTCACTTCCTTTAAGTTTCAGCCTTGCGACCGTACTCCCCAGGCGGAACAGTAAGAATTATCTTTCGTAGGAACCTCCAAATTTGGCCTACAGCCTGCTCATCGTTAACAGTAGTGGACTACAGAGGTCTCTAATCTCTTTCGCTACCCACACCTACGTGCCTCAGCGTCAATAAGCGCCAGTTAAATGCTTTCGCCATTACAGTTCCTTAAGAGATCGATGGGGGTTAAGCCTCCCTCGAAAATTCCAAAAACCTCTCGCTTATTCATACAAAAAAGGTTGAATTATTAAAAGAGTACAGATTTGATATATGCACCACATAATAATAAAATTCATACCCGCCTACGCACCCTTTATGCCCAGTAATTCCGAAAAACGCTCGCCCCATCCAAATTACCGCGGCTGCTGGCATGGATATTTGCCGGGACTTTCATCCGTACCATTATCATTATTAAAAATACGGCTCCGGAGTTGTCTAGCTAAGCTCTTCATACTCCACTCGATATCGCTGGATCAAGGTTACCCTCATTGTCCAAGATTCCCCACTGCTGCCTTCAATTGAAAGGTGGGTCTCTTCTCACCCCCACTGTGGCTGTACGTTCTCACAAACCAGCTAAAGATCCCCGGCTTGGTGAGCCATTACCCCACCAACTACCTAATCTTATATAAGCCCATCTATAGACAATAAATCATCATATAGGAAAGTTCTCATACATTACTCACCCTTTCGCCATGCTACAAAGCAAAAAAAATGCAATACAATCAACTAGCATGTGTAAAGCATATCTATTAGCGTTCTTTCTGAGCCAGGATAAAGCTCATTAAAAAAACAAAACAAAACACAAAAACATACCCACCTAAAACAAAACAGCCGATAACAGGACTCGAACCTGCGACCTATTGATTACAAATCAATTGCTCTACCAACTAAGCTAAACCGGCCCAACTATCAACACCTAATAAAACAAAATATAATTAATTATAGGTTATTCAACTAATAACCTAAAATTAATACCTTATCACATAAATACACTATATAATTAAAAAGCCACTACCTGAGATGATTGTTCTATTACTACTCCTCTGGATTCTAAACGACTAGCCCAATCACTCAGGTCATGCAGCTTGTTATATTATAATATAACAAACTGCTATTAAATATTAAGACGAGTCCGTCTAAAAAATTACTACAAGCTACCAGTAGCTTAAAACTTATATGAGTAAAAATAATATAATAATATTATTTTAACCTGAATTAAAAATAATAAAATAATACTATAGTATTATTGAGATATAGGTACCACTGAGCTAAAAACTATACAGAGCCATATAAAAAAATCTAAAAATCTAATATATGGCTGATGATACACTTTTGCTGGAAGCTATGTAAGGAGCAATTGGAATCGAACCAATGACCACATGCTCTACCACTGAGCTATACCCCCATTTTTATGTAATTATGTTGTTATAAATCTAATAGAAATTTTTCTATTAGATTGTGATTTCTTATTATTTTTTTTTTTTTGATGGTTTAATAATTTTATAGTGTGCATGTGATGTGGATGTAATAGTAGTTGTGATGTTGTTGATATATTGTTGTTTTGTGAGCTTTTTGAAATATTCTCTTCCTCCTATTTTTATTAGTGAGTTTTTATGTGTTTTTGTTGTTTTTGCATTTGTTTTTGTTCTTTGTCCTTTTACGGGTAGTCCTAGTAGGTGTTTATATCCTCTATATGTTTTATTGTTGATAAGGTTGAATATATCGGATGTTGTTTCTTTTTTTAATAAGTGTCCTACTCTCATTTTAGCTACTAGTGTTTGTACTCGTCTTTCTTGTTGGTTATCTAGCTCTGATATTTTTAATTTATGGTGTATGTGGCATAGGTTGCATATTTCTTCTGCTTTTTTTTGTCCTATTCCACTGATTGTTTTTAATCCTCTAATAATATTTAATTCTTTATCTATAACTACCCCTTGTAGATACATTTATAGTTGTGTTTTTATTAATAGAGGTGTCATATGAGATTCTAATAGAATTTTAGGGTATACTCCTAATCCAATAAATAAAAAGATTAGAACTATGCTTACTGGTAATGTCATGTCATAGTTTATATCCCTAGTTTGATGAATATGAATACTTAATCTTCCCATGAATACTCTATTATAAAGCCAAATTGAGTATGCGGCTGTAGAAATAATTGATAATCCTGCTATAACTGCAGTTGTTGGTGATTTTTGAAATGTTCCTATTAATATTAAAAATTCTCCTACAAAGTTAGATGTTCCAGGCATACTTAGATTTCCTAAAACAGCTATAAAGAACACAGTACTTAATATCGGCATAAATACTGTCAATCCTCTATAATATTTTAATACTCTAGTGTGGTATTTATCATATAAAGAACCCACTAATATAAATAATGTAGAAGAAATAAATGCATGACTAACCATAATCAATAGAGCCCCATCTAATCCTTGAACATTAAACGAGAATATTCCAAGAGTAATAAAATTCATATGACCCACCGATGAATAAGCAATAATTTTTTTTAAATCAATTTGTCTCAATGTAGTTAGTGAACTATACAAAATACTAATCAAACTAACTAAATAAACAAAAGGAGCAAAGTACCAAGATGCATCTGGAAATAATGCTAATGAGTACTTTATTAATCCAAAAGTACCCAATTTTAAAAGCAATGCTGCTAATAATACAGACCCAGATGTAGGCGCCTCTACATGCGCCTCTGGTAACCATGTATGAAATGGAACCATAGGAATTTTAATTGCAAATGCTAAAAAAAATGCACACCATAATAACCTTTCTTCTAAGAATGACCAATCAGTACCTATAAGATCATTCAACACTAAAGTTCCTTTAGTAACATATATATAGGCAATAGCGAAAACCATAAATAAAGAACCAAATAATGTGTACAAGAATAATTGAAATGCAGCTAAAACCTTTCTATTCCTAGAACCCCAAATACCAATTATAAAAAAAATAGGAATTAATACTAGTTCAAATAACATATAAAAAGCTATTATATTATTAGTTAAAAATGCCAATGTTAATATAGATTGAATTAACATTAATAATATAAACATCTCAACATACTTTTTATTAGACATATTATAATTTACAAACATACAAATATGAACTGTAAACGCAGTTAAAACTACAAATATTAATGAGAATTTATCTAATAAAAATGTCACAATACCTTCAAATGGAAATACAGACACTACAAAATTCAAAGTATAACCATTTAAAATAGAAGAAAAATCCTCATGACCCAATAATAAGCAGTAAAGAGAATATAAAGGTGTTATAGCAGAAGAAATTATTAAAGCTTCTTTAGTAAAATTATCTTTTTCAAGTTTAGATTTAAATAAAATACTGTGCACAACTATAATTAATGGAAACAATACTAAACCAAACAATGGATTTATAGAAAATGTCATATTAGATGTTTAAACCGTATATAATCCCACTGTTAAATAGTACTATACCTGTACCTACAGGTAAAAATACAAGCCATCCTAACCTCATCAATTGATCATACCTAAATCTAGGGAATGCAACCCTAACCCAAACGAATGCAATTAAAAAAAAACTAAGCTTTACAACGAATGAGAATTGGTTAAATAAAATAAAACCCCACCATCCACCTAAATATAAAATTACAGTAATACATGAAATTAATATAATATTAGCATATTCCCCCATATAAAACATAGCAAAACCAATACCAGAATACTCAGTACTATAACCCGCCACTAACTCAGCCTCAGCCTCCGGCAAATCAAATGGAGGCCTATTAGTTTCAGCAACTGCTGAAATATAGAACATAACCAATAAAGGAAAACAACTTAAAATATTCCAATAAATCTCTTGATTCATAATTATCTCAACATAATTTAATGAACCAGCCACAATAACAGTAGCTATAATTATCAAACCCAATGAAACCTCATAAGAAATCATCTGAGCCGCAGACCTAATCGCCCCCAACAATGAATACTTAGAATTTGAAGACCAACCTGCAATAACAATACCATAAACCCCCAAAGCTGACACCAACAAAGTAAATAAAATAGACACATTAATATCACTTACTAAAACATCTTCCCTCAAAGGAATAAATACCCAACCCAATAAAGAAAAACACAATGTAATTATAGGAGCCACAATAAACATCTTCTTATTAGCCTGAACCGGAATAACAATCTCCTTAACCAATAACTTCAATGCATCCGCAAAAGGCTGTAAAATACCCATAGGACCCACCAAATTAGGACCCTTCCTTCTCTGAAAAAGAGACATCACCTTCCTCTCCGCCAACGTTAAATAAGCCACCGCTATCAAAACTGGAACAACCACCAATAAAAAATCAATAAAACTAACCAAAATCATAAAATAAACAAATAAAATAAAATAAAAAACAAAACAACCACCACAAAAACTACCCCCCCCCAATAAAATAAAATAACAAAACCCAAACAAAACACAAAAACCCAAACAAAATATAACAGCTCTAAGGATAAACACCACAAGTGTTTACTACAACACCACCTAAAGAAAACATATGGATAATGGGACTCGAACCCATAAGAAAATAAATTCACTTGTTTCTAAGACAAGCGTGTCTACCAATTCCACCATACCCACCTAAAACAAAACAGCCGATAACAGGACTCGAACCTGCGACCTATTGATTACAAATCAATTGCTCTACCAACTAAGCTAAACCGGCCCAACTATCAACACCTAATAAAACAAAATATAATTAATTATAGGTTATTCAACTAATAACCTAAAATTAATACCTTATCACATAAATACACTATATAATTAAAAAGCCACTACCTGAGATGATTGTTCTATTACTACTCCTCTGGATTCTAAACGACTAGCCCAATCACTCAGGTCATGCAGCTTGTTATATTATAATATAACAAACTGCTATTAAATATTAAGACGAGTCCGTCTAAAAAATTACTACAAGCTACCAGTAGCTTAAAACTTATATGAGTAAAAATAATATAATAATATTATTTTAACCTGAATTAAAAATAATAAAATAATACTATAGTATTATTGAGATATAGGTACCACTGAGCTAAAAACTATACAGAGCCATATAAAAAAATCTAAAAATCTAATATATGGCTGATGATACACTTTTGCTGGAAGCTATGTAAGGAGCAATTGGAATCGAACCAATGACCACATGCTCTACCACTGAGCTATACCCCCATTTTTATGTAATTATGTTGTTATAAATCTAATAGAAATTTTTCTATTAGATTGTGATTTCTTATTATTTTTTTTTTTTTGATGGTTTAATAATTTTATAGTGTGCATGTGATGTGGATGTAATAGTAGTTGTGATGTTGTTGATATATTGTTGTTTTGTGAGCTTTTTGAAATATTCTCTTCCTCCTATTTTTATTAGTGAGTTTTTATGTGTTTTTGTT